CGGCAGCGGCAGCGGCAGCAGCAGCAGCGGCGGCGGGGTCAGCCCGGGTAGCCCGAGCCCCGCGGCCTGGGCCTGCGCTCGGCGCCATGAGCGGCGGCGGGCCTTCAGGAGGCGGCCCTGGGGGCTCGGGCCGGGCGCGGACCAGCTCGTTCGCGGAGCCAGGCGGCGGAGGCGGCGGAGGCGGCGGCGGCCCTGGGGGCTCGGCCTCTGGCCCAGGCGGCACCGGCGGCGGGAAGGCGTCTGTCGGGGCCATAGGTGGGGGCGTGGGAGCCTCGAGCTCCGGGGGTGGCCCCAGCGGCAGCGGTGGAGGAGGCAGCGGCGGCCCCGGCGCGGGCTCTAGCTTCCCGCCGCCCGGAGTGAAGCTGGGCCGTGAGTATTAGGGGTGCCCGTGTCGGGTGGTGATCTGGGTTTCCTAAGGTCCTCAACTGTAGATCTGTTCCTTTCATGTGCTCATATAAGACCTCGAGGTCACTGTTCCTCCTCCAAACTGGGGTCTTGAGCTCTCTCCCTCCCAGAAAAAGGGGTTTGGAGTTACCGTCACTTGGGAGTTTAGGGTAAGAATTATTGACATCCAGAGAAACAGGGTCACAGTTCTCGATTCTTTCAGTACCAAGGTCTTGGGTCGCTGAGCTTTAAAAACAAAAATCTGACGTTACCATTCATTAGAGATCAGGATCAGAGGTCATAGTCACTTGCAAATGGGGAATCTAGGATAGTTGTCTCCTAAAAAAACAAAAATAAGATCACTATAGCCAGGGATTTATCTCTGTGGTTCCAGCGCCTGCCTTGCAAGCAAAAGGTCCCAAGTTCGATCCCCGGTACCAAAAACAAAACAAAACAAAGATCACCATATCACCACTACTACAAAAAGAGGATCTGCATTTACTCTCCCTTAGAGGATGGGGATTTGAATTGTATATTTCTTAAAAGTCGGGATTTGGGGTTACTGTGCCACCAACGAACAGAGCCAGGTTTGAAACATAAGACCTGGCATCATTACCAACCCAAATATCTAGAGCTATACCCCCAACAGTAGCCATTAATAGTTATTTCAAAACAAGAACAGATGGGGAATCAGCATACCCTTCAAAACAAGTCCATTGTCCCTGTTCTTGAAAAAAAAAAAAAGCTTGGGGGGGTGCTTTTTAGCAAAAATGAAATGAAGGGTGGATCACAACTCCCCATGGATTTGAAGTTATGCCTCTTTAATCATTTAGGGGTATGCTGTCATTGGCTGCACAGCAATGTAGAATACTTCCCTCCAAAAGAAACAGTTACTGGCCCCTCTAAATGGATTTAGTTCATCAGTTTCCTAAATAGAAAAGGCCCCCTGTCCCCTAGGAATGACACCAAGGTTTGCTGCCATTCAGAGAATGGAATTTGGGAATTTGAGCTACCCTTCAAAAGGTCTGAGGCTGGAATAGCCGCCCCCTGAGGACAGAGATCAAGCTCACTATCCTCACATCTTGTGCTGCTCTGGACCCCACATATAAAGAGGTCGGGTCAGTTTCTGATCTAATGTATTTGGGCACGGGTAGCTTTCCCCCAAAAGTGGGGGTCAAAGCATTAGTCTCATACCAGGAGAGCATGTTCATTTTTGTCACCAGGAGCCAGTGGTGAAGTTACCAGTTCTACTAGAGAAGATTTAGAAGGCACTGCTCTACAGGTTGTGAAAATGATCATTGCTTTCCTAAAGTAGGAATACATCAGGCTTACTGTTCCTTCAGTAGAAGATGTTAGGTCTTGCCTTTCCTACAGGAGGGCCCAGAGGGCAATGAGCCCACTATAGATGGATTCAATACCTAGGGTTGATGGTGTCTCCCAGTATCAATAGGGACCAGTGATTTGATGTTTCCTAGAAGTGGAAATTAGGGGTTGTCAACCCTTGTACAGCAAAGAGGTTTAGGTGTCACTGTCCTCCCATATAGGAGGATGCGGGATTTAGGGCTTCCTGAAGAAAAGAAGGGAAAGGGCACTGGGGGTTTCCTCAGAGAGTGGGAAGGGACAAAGAAGCCCCAACAGGCTTTTTGCAGAGATTTCCTTCCCACAGCCCTGAGATAGAGTGGTGGCTGGAGGGGAAATGTCAGTGGATTGTGTGTCCCCTTTATTCCCCAGGTGACAGCGGGAAGGTGACCACAGTGGTAGCCACTCTAGGCCAAGGCCCAGAACGGTCTCAAGAAGTGGCTTACACAGACATCAAAGTGATTGGCAATGGCTCATTTGGGGTCGTGTACCAGGCACGACTGGCAGAGACAAGGGAGCTGGTGGCTATCAAGAAGGTTCTTCAGGACAAGAGGTTCAAGGTAGCTTGGGGGAAATGGAATGAACAGTTTCGGGGACTAGGCATGGCTGGTGAGAACTCCCAGCAAGAGAACGGGTGCCTGGGGTTTCAGAGGAGACCTGAGTGAGCATGGGCCAGAAAAGGGGAAAGAAGGGAATGAATTGAATGGAAGGTGGGAAAAGTTGATTCCAAGAGTTGAAAGCTGACATTTATTGGGCATTTGCTTAATATAAGTGCTTGATAGGGGAGTTCTTGTTTAATGTACCTAAAGATTCTCTGAAGGTTGGTGCTGTTGTTATTCCCATGTTAAGCAAGCAGAAATGAAGTTTGCATATAGAATACCCTATTCAAGAGACTAGACTTTAGCCTGATTTCCAAGCCCTTCACCTTAACCACCTGGATACATTTCTTCCCAGAGAAAGGAGATGGTAGGGCTGATGGTGTTAGTGCTGAAGGTAGCACTCTGCCTCAGGTGTTTGACCAGTGCAAGATATAATTCAGCCTATGCCGTGTTCACAAACTATTGGTGTTGGTATGGGGCCCTGTCCTTTCTGAGGAGGGGTACCTGCCGTCTTTCACTTGGGCGGCAGTGACCTGTGAACTAGCATTGGCCCAGGGAACTAGATGGAGATGGAAGAGATGGTAGTGGAAGGATAACTGGTATTTGGAGGACTGGCATTTGGAACCTAGGCTACCCTGGATGTGGAGGAACTGAGGCTGGGTCAAGCCCTGGCTCTGGACAGCTCCAGGATGTCACCCAGAACTTGGTTAGGGTTGACTTCCAGAAGTGAGAAGGATCTGGGGGCAGGGAGCTCTGAGGTCCCAGGTGGGAAGAGAGTGGGGGAGAATGCTCAGTCTGGGCCTTTTGGGAAGAGGCTGAAGGGTCTCTGTAAGTCCCTAAGTGAGAATTGGATGCCTGGAGTCTGGGACTCAAGATCCAAGCTAGAGTTCAAAGTCCGAGATGCCTCTGGGGAGAGCAGAAGCAAGTAGTGGTGGGGACCAGAGTGAACTGGATGGCCAATACTGGTCTCTGGTCTCTGGTGCCATGTAGGCTGCTTCATCTTATTTCTCATGAGAAGCTGAGAACTGGCTTTAAAAGTGAAGCAATTTGGCTTTTAAATGTCAGCAATAAGTTGAAAATTTTTTTAAAAGCAGACTGAAAAGAACACATTTGTGTTCTGGAATGAGTCCACAGGCCTCTAGCTATGTGAGAGGGGAGGAAGTTTGGGGTGAGGAATTGCAGGATGCCCCTGAAGGGCCTTGCTACTGTGATACAAAGAGCAACTGCCTTTTCTATTGGCCGGAGTGGGAATGGTGCTGAGGCGAGTATACTAGGGAGTGGAGGCAGAGAGAGAGGGTTGGTTGTATTGAGATTTTCTTCCTCTGTCCCCAAGAACCGAGAGCTGCAGATTATGCGTAAGCTAGACCACTGCAATATTGTGAGACTGCGGTACTTTTTCTACTCCAGTGGGGAGAAGGTGAGACATTGGGGTGCCCAGGGTGAGGGTGTGGCTTCACCTTGACTCCATTCATTCTCCTGCCTGCTTTTCTCATGAGTCCAGTCTTTCCCTTACAGTGCCTTATATACACCTTCCCTTTCCCCTTGCTCCCAATACCTCACACCTCTCCTTTTCTGTCTCCAGAAAGATGAGCTTTACCTAAATCTGGTGCTGGAATATGTGCCCGAGACAGTGTACCGGGTGGCCCGCCATTTCACCAAGGCCAAATTGACCATCCCTATCATCTATGTCAAGGTAGGCAGGCAGGCTGCTCCAGAGCTTCATTTCTTCTGTAGGTTACCTCATCTTTCAAGTTTATGTTGGTTCCTGGGGTCCCATATTTTGTGCCTTTGCTCCTGTAGCCCCCAGATGGAGTTTGCCAAAGCAGGGGAGGGCCAAGGCAAGGGCTGACTGAATCAGGAAGGCAGCTGGACCAGGCAGCTTAAGAGGCTGCAGGGTATCTGCTCAGATCCACATTGAAAGCCCACTATTAGTGGTGTTGGGGTGAGGGATACCATGAGTTTGAGGGGAGCTGCTGAGGTCAGAGTCCAACCTTTGGAGCCCGGTTGAGGGGTAGTGGGAAAGACTTAGGGTTGCAGTCAGATTAGTGTCCATACCATAGAGCCAGGCGTGCATCTTCCTACATCCTCTGTAGCATCATTCCCCATACCTGGCACTGTGTCCTGGGTGTAAAGGATCTTCAGGAGGGCTGGGGATTTAGCTCAGTGGCATTGTGCCTGCCTCACAAGCTCAAGGTCCTGGCCTGGGATTTAGCTCGGTGGTTTTGCTGCCTGCTGCACAAGCGCGAGGACCCAAGTTCGATCCCCGATACCAAAAAAAAACAAGCTCAAGGTCCTGAGTTCGATCCCTGGTACCAAAAAAAAGGGAATCTTCAGGAGGTATCTGAATGAATATATCAATAAATGAGTGAAGCCCAGGAATGATGTAGGTTCAGAACAGAGGCTGGAACAGGTACTGCATTAGGAGGCAGGAGGCGTAGGTTTGTTTGCTAGAGGTTTGGGGCCCAGCTGCTCCTTGTGCTGGCTTTAAGAATTCTACTCCTGAGTGAGGTGACTTGGGCCCTATCAGTGGCTGTTGTTGCTAGACTTCAGCTCCTGGAAGGGGAATTCTCTGATTGGGAGCTGTGCTGGAGCTGCCTGCACACTGGGCCCAGTGCTGAGCAATTCCAGAAGCACAGCTTACTAAGACCCTTGTCTTGCTCTCAAAGAGCCTGTTTGGTGGGGCTGACATGCACTGTCCAGGAAACATGAAACTAGGTGCTGCTACACTAGAGGGAGCATAAGGAATCCTGGAAAAAAGATATCCTTGCTCAGCCTGATTTGGAGATGAGACGGAACAAGGAAGGCTATTGGGAGGAGACCAGGTGCATGAAGTAGTGGCATCTGGCTGAAGGGAACAGGGACAAAGGAGGAACCCTTTGTACATGGTGGAGAACAGTTGAGCAGTTAATACATAACAGACACTGGTCTTGGGCCCATGGAAGCAGAAGTGATCAAAACTCAAAAGATCCCTGATCTTTTGGCACTTGGGTTCTAGTCAGTAAGTGGGAGAGAGGCAGCAGAACTGAGCTGGAGGCAGGGTTGGCTTGTGGGTGGTTTTGACTGTGGAGTGAAGGAGGCTGAGCTCTTCAGGAACCAATGGTTTTTGGAGAGGGGAAGCTGAGTGCCTGACTCTCCAGCCTACTTTATGACAGGGCTTTCCACTGTGTCTGACTTATTCAGCAGGCTTCTGCCAAGGGGTGTGGTTGCAGCAACAGTTGTCAAAATTTGGTCTGGGGACTAGCATCTGTGCCGGAAGGCTTATTTCAGATGCCCCATTCTTTTTTTTTTTTTTTTTTTTTTGGCGGTACTGGGGATCAAACTCAGGACCTTGGGTTTTCTTTTTCCTTTTTTTTGGTACTGGGGATCAAACTCGGGACCTTGCACTTATGAGGCAGGTGGTGGAACCACTGAGCTAAATCCTTGACCCTAGAACCTTGGGTTTTTGAGGCAGGCACAACAGCGCCACTGACCTAAATCCCCCACCCTCAAACGCCCTATTCTGAAGTCACATAATTAGAAACTGTTAGGTGGGTGTGGTAGTCTGAAAGGCAGAAGGGTTGAAAGTTCCAGCTCAGCCTGGGCCACTTGGTGACTTAGCAAGACCTTGTCTCAAAGTAAAAAATAAACAAAGGGCTGGGGCTATACTAGGTGTGAAGGTTCTCAGTTCACTCTCAGGTACTGCAGAAAGACAAAAAACCCAAGAAAACCCTGTGAGTTTGGGGGCCCATCAGTGTGTTTTAACAAGTCCTCCCAAGTACTTGTGGTATGCACTCAAGATTGAGAATCCAAGATTGTGGCCTGGAAGGATTCTTCAGGCCAAGACAGTGGGCTAGTGACGGTGTGCTGTGTGGGCAGAGCTGAGCTGGAGTTCAGCTGTCCCCTGCCTGCCCCAGGTGTACATGTACCAACTCTTCCGGAGCTTGGCCTACATCCACTCCCAGGGTGTGTGTCACCGTGACATCAAACCCCAGAACCTGCTGGTGGACCCCGACACTGCTGTCCTCAAGCTCTGCGATTTTGGCAGGTGGGACTGACCTGGGTTTGCTGGGTGGCTAAAAGGGTAAGGGGGACTTTAACCTTTGGCTGTTTACCCTTCCCTTTTCTTCCCACAGTGCAAAGCAGTTGGTCCGGGGGGAGCCCAATGTTTCCTACATCTGTTCTCGCTACTACCGAGCCCCAGAGCTCATCTTCGGAGCCACTGATTATACCTCGTCCATCGGTCAGAGTCATGGGTGGGTGGTGCTGGGAATGAAAGTCTTGGCAGGTTTTGAGTTCTTTCTGTGCGCTGTGTGTCAGGCTTGGTGATAAAAGCTTAACATCTGTTCTTTTAGGGGCCGGGGATTTAGCTCAGTGGTTCCACCACCTGCCTCGCAAGTGCAAGGACCCGAGTTGGATCCCCCGTACCAAAAAACAACAACAACAACAACAACATCTGTTCTTTTACCCAGTCCTCACAAGCTTAGGAGGCTGATGCTACTGCATGGTTGTTTTAGATAATCGACCTAAGGCTGAAAGCCGGGAAGCTTCCTGCCCATAGTTGCACTGCTGAGATGGGGCAGGGCTGGGATTTGAAAGCACACCTGACTCCAGAGTCCACCCTAGCTCTGGAACCTCCCAGTCAGCTCTGTTCTCAGCTGGAGGGAGGGAGGGGCTGGGAATGACCTTGGGGGAACCAGCAGGCACAGCTTTGTTACCACAAAGGTACCACCTATTCCTAGGGCCTCTGTGTCCTGTTGAGGATGACAGTGCCACCTTCCAGGCATGAGGGGCAAGGCTAAAATAAGGGAATGGGTGTGGGAAGGGACTGTGTGGTCCCTAGGTGTAAACTTATGCAGTGAGGGTCATGGTACAGACTAGGGAGGGGCCAGGCTAAAGGGCTTCTCATGGGCAAGAGTGAGGCTGGGACGTGAGAAAGGTATTCTAGGATTTAAGGTTTTACCTTCCTGTGGCCCAAAGGACATAGGTTCCTATTGGCAAGGTTGGGCCTAGTTTGTCCTCTGAGGATAGAGCCAGACAAAGGGCTCACTGGGGTCACTGAGCACGGGCAATGAGGGCTGGAAGGACATGTAGTCTGAAGAGTGCAGCTAAGTGGGGCAGACATGGAGGTTCAAGGTCCAGCTCCAGTATTCTGTGTATGACCTTTGGATAAATGTTTCCTGACTTGGGAAAATGGGGGTCTTGACACCTGAGGATGGCCATGGGAAATAACGGAAGTGTTTGCAAAGGGATGGGCTTGGTGACCTGTCTGCCTAGCCCTGAACCTCCCCCATTGCCTTCAGATGTGTGGTCAGCTGGCTGTGTCCTGGCTGAGCTCCTCCTTGGCCAGCCTATCTTCCCTGGGGACAGTGGGGTGGACCAGCTGGTGGAGATCATCAAGGTGAGAGTAGGGTCAGGGAGGGCGTGGGGCAGGGCTAAGGGATAGGGGGCCTCGTCTCAAACCCCTCCCTCACTACACAGGTACTGGGAACACCAACCCGGGAACAAATCCGAGAGATGAACCCCAACTATACGGAGTTCAAGTTCCCCCAGATTAAAGCTCACCCTTGGACAAAGGTAGGGTAGGGATTCGGGGAGGGAGGGGGGGGTCGTCTCCTGAAGGCCAACTGGGCTGGTAGTTGGCTTCAGAATCATGGCTTTTGAGGGTTTAAAGTTAACCAGGGAGCAAGTCAATAACTCATTACGTTTAAAAAGTTTATGGAATCTAAAAAATTAAGGACCCACAGGTAATCGAGATTCCATTTCTGTGGCAGGGAAACTGAAGCTCATAGCAAGGTTCATATAATCACAGGACCTGGGCTGGCTAGCTGCCAGATACAAATTGACTTCCTCTCAGTGGTTGTGCCTCTGTTTCCTTATTTGGAAGGTGGGTTTGTGAGAGGCAGGCAGTTGTATTTGCCACAGGCAGCGAGTCATAAGATGCTAGTGCCGAGGGCATCTCTCACCCTCATGACCCTGCACCCCCCCTCCCCCCAGGTGTTCAAATCTCGGACGCCGCCTGAGGCCATCGCTCTCTGTTCAAGCCTGCTAGAGTACACTCCGTCCTCCAGACTCTCTCCACTAGAGGCCTGTGCCCATAGCTTCTTTGATGAACTTCGATGTCTTGGAACCCAGCTCCCCAACAACCGCCCACTTCCCCCCCTCTTCAACTTCAGTCCTGGTGGTGAGAGCAGTAGAAGTGGGGAGCCAAGCAGGTTACAAAGCAGGTCTAGGGGCCAGGAAGTTGTTCCCCAGATTCTGGAGAACCATAGCTACCTTAGCAATGCTTTATGATCTGTCTTTTTTTTTTTGGTACCGGGGATCTAACTCAGGACCTTGTGCTTTCGAGGCAGATGGCAGAAAGACTGAACTAAATCCCCAGCCCATGACAATCTGTCTTATGCTAGGTTCTTTCCAGTTTTATACTTAAAGAATTCTGTGGCTAGAAGTGTCTATAAACAGGCCTGGCCAATAACTGGCCCCTTGTTTGGTACCCCTTCATAATCCTCACTGGGTTTCCAGTGCCCTGGCTCCTCCCTGACTGGGCGTGTCAATTCCCCTCTCTAGAACTCTCCATCCAACCGTCTCTGAACGCCATTCTCATCCCTCCTCACTTGAGGTCCCCAGCAGGCACTACTCCACTTACTCCGTCCTCACAAGGTAAGTTGGAGGACCATCTGCTGAGGGTTAAACCAGCACTTCTGAACCAAAATATATTTCACAGCATGTCAGTGACCACCTTAGTAGGGCATTGTTGCCTACATCTGTGTGTTTTGTTTTGTTTTTTGGTACCGGAGATCGAACTCGGGTCCTTGTGCTTGCGCAGTAGGCTGCGAAACCACTGAGCTAAATCCCCGGCCCCTACATTTGTGTTTAAAATGCTAATTGGAAACCAAAGAAATGTTTGCTGTGAACAAACAAAAAGTTGAACTTGCTGACCATGTTTAAGAATTGGGCCACTTTAGGTAAAAACCCAGATTTCCTTTTCTCTTGGTGAAGAAAATCAGATTCGGGCAGCAGTGGGCTGGCATGCCTTCCTGACTGCAGTTGGCAGTGGGCTGGCTGCAGCTACCTCCAGCTGCCTCTTATGTGGAGCCTGGTTTCCTGGTGTGAGGCACTCAATGTCAAGCTGGCCTTTTGGGCTTTTGAGTTTGCAATCCTGGACCTAAAGTGACAGCTTTTAACTTTTAACGTAGCATCTTACCACTCTACTCTGGAAGGGGTGCAGGGGGATCTGAAAGGCGAAGACTAATTGTCAGTTGCTTTCCTTCCCTTCAGCTTTAACTGAGAATCAGACCGGCTCAGACTGGCAGGCACCTGATGCCACACCTACCCTCACTAACTCTTCCTGAGGGCCCCACCAACTACCCTTCCATGTCTATCTGGGAGCCCTAAGTGGGGTTGGGAAGGGGGAGGCGTAGCCCATCAAACTCCTATCCTGGCTGGCCCCCTAGACTAGAGGGCAGAGGTAAATGAGTCCCTACCCCCACCTCTAGTCCCTCCGTTACCAGCCTCACTCCTTTGATGGGCTTTTTAAGAGGATTTTAACTGGTTGTGGGGAGGGAAGACAAGGAAGGATGGGGTTGGGGGCATGAGGAACTCCTACCCCTTTTGCCCCCTCATACCCCCCAGCCTCCACTTCCTCCAACCCCCCCCCCCCCATGACCCTTGTAAATAGAATCAGCCCACTTCATCTTTTCCCTTCCCTGGTCCCCAGGTGTAAATAGATTGTTATAATTTTTTTCTTAAAGAAAACGTTGATTCGCACCATCCAACCTGGCCCTGCCCACTCCTACAGCTGTATCTCCACTTCTGTCCTCTGCTCCCAAGGCCTCCTCACTCCTCTCCCAACCCTGGAGGGCCTGGGGGAATGGGGAGAACTCCTGATGTCTTAAGTTTCCACAGTAAGGTTTGCCTGTGTACAGACCTCCATTCAATAAATTATTGGCATGAAAAACTGCTTCCCGTCTGGCTGCCTGTTTCCACCAAGGTGAGAGGTTGTCTGGAGGGCTATTCAGGGCCAGGAATGGGCTATATCTCGGGCAGGGAAACACTGGGAAGCCCTAGTTTTGGCCCTGATTCAGGTGCCTAGCCCTTCTGGACCTGAGCACTCCTACTCCTGTCTGCATGTGGAGTGATGAACTTTTTCATTGTAGAGGCCTGTCCTGTGACCCAGCATAAATCATCTGCTTCTGCTTAGGGAGGGAGAGATTAGCATCCCAGAGACCAGTGAGAGAAGTGGCGATCCCTTGAAGGGGTCCAGGCTGAAGAACTTAAGTTGCAGAGTCAAGACTATAAACAAAGGGCTGTGTGTCTCAGTCCAAGCTGCTGGCTGCTTCTAGGACCTGGGAGATGAGTCACTCAGGCAAAAACTTAAAACTTACTCTGCCTATAGACTCTGGGGTGAGGTGGTGTTGGGACACGAGGCAGGGCCAGAACCCTAGCAGATTCTCAAGGCTTCTTTTCAGAGTTAAGCAAGGCACCTATTTGCTCTGCCTCTCAGGGATTGGGAATTGACAACTCTGGGAAGGCTGGGGCAGAGTTTGGCTTTTTCCCTCACTTTTAAAATATCCTAGGACTAGATGGTAGGGGCTGCCGGCAGATGGAAATGGCACCATCTCCACATGGTGTCAAGCAACAAGCATAGGCAGGAGACTGCCGAGGGGGAGGGAAAGAGAGCCTGGGGAGGAGCAGCTGCATGTCCTCTGCTAGATTCCACTGAGGACATGTCCCAGGAGTGCTAGGACTGTTCCTGTGGGCTCTGGGCTTTCCAAACTGCCTAAGGACATCTATACTGCCCAGAACAGGTTCTGTCCTGCTTTTGCTCAATACTGGCCTGTATTTCACCTTGATTGCAAAGTGGATTTTTAGAGCACATAGATTAGACAAGGGGAAGATGGCTGGTCTGGGCGAGGGGCAAGCCTTGGGTGCTTGGGGACCTCTTTCTCCCCAGTGTTTGATCATGTATTCACTTTCCTCCTACCCCCCATAACCCTTGCCCAGCTCTGTCCCTGTTCTCTCCCCTCTAGACCATTGCCAGCCTCCCACTCACATCGCGAATCCCAGGGAGACCTGATAACCCTGTTATGACACCTCCACACCCCTGCAGCACTGTCTTGAACTACTCAGCCCAACTCCCAAGGCCTAGGCTTCCCTCCTGGACAACTGCCAGCCCCAGCAGCATTCTACTTCATCTGCCTGAGGTGTGCAGAGGTCTAGGGCAGCCTGTTCCACTGACCCACATCTGCTTAGGGAGGAAAGGACTGTTATCCTAGGCATCCGTTGAAAAAATTGGGCATCCCTTCCTGCTTCCAAGGTCTTTTACCAGCCCCCTTCTATCCCAACTGCTCTGCGACCCTGGTTTACTTTTCTTCCAATTAGAATGAATCCTTTTGACTCCAACTTTCTACATGGGTTTCAGGTCTCAATCACTTAGAATAGCAGTGGTTATAAAATGTGGGCTTAGGGGACAAATCTCACAGTGCCTTGGAAGTAGCTGTCCTCAGTTTTTGCATCCGTACAAGAGGGATGAGACTGAGATCATAATACACCCGTTGGGATCATAGTACACATACAGTGCTAAGTGTAGTGCCTGCCATGGCCATGCAGTCAAATGTTCAGGTAATTATAGTTTCAAGATGGTCTCCAAATATATACTATCCTATAGTGCTGTCTCCCTGAAATGTTCTTTTCCTCTTCCACTGGCAGATTCCTACTTTTTCTTCAGGGACTACCTTCTCTAGGAAGACTTTCACACTTGATCTCCTCCCATGAAGGTTTGTTCCCTACTCTAGGATCCCAGTGTCGCTGCACATCCCCATCATAACCCAAGAAATCCTTAAGTTTGACTCATCTCTGGCCTTCATCATTGCATAGCACATAGGAGGCCTTTGGACACAGGCTGAATGAAACCAATGAGCCACATTTGGAGAACAAACCATCTGTACTTGTGTGTGGTCTTACTAGATACTTTCTGAGGGCAGAGCCTGTGTCTGACTCATAACTGGGTCCTCAGCATTACCCACTCTTTTTCTTTTTTGGTACTGGGGATGGAACTCAGGACCTTACACTTTCAAGGCAGCTGGTGGAACCACTGAGCTAAATACCCGGCCCTGGATCTCCCACTGTTAAGATTAATACCAGGGTACCTAAATCCCCTTCTACATTGTCAAAATTGAGATGAAGGAAGCCCAGATAAGTTAAGTGCTTTTCTCTACCAGGCAGAACCAAGCCCTGGGTGCCCAAAATCCAAGGAAGGCTAGGGCTGGGGGATAAGCAGAAACTCTTAAGAGATATAAGAGAATCCCCAGCCCGGGAACATGGTTGGTGCTCCATAAAGTTTACCTGATATTGCTGGGTGATGCAAAGAGCCTTGCCAAACCCCACTTTGTAACACAGCAGGGTGACCTGGGACAGATTACATGGCATCTTAGCTTCAGTTTCCCCTCAGGAAGAGAAAGATGACATGGGAAACCTGGCAGGGCTGCTGAGGAGTCACTGGATACAAGAGTGAGTCTCATGGTGAATGCCAGATTGGCTTGTCAAAGGGGTGGTCCTCTTTTCCCTAGAGGCGCCCACACTTATTGTTGTGACCAAACCCTTTTATTGTTGCTCTTCCACCATGTCACACAAAGGCCGTGTCTAACTGTAACAGCCCACTTGCTTCACTGGCCCCCAGTGCAGCCTGGCACAGCTGCAGTGTGTCCTCCAGTGCCAGTGGCTGGGATGTCTCAATGATGGCGATGGTCTCCCCGAGCTCTGTGCACATGATAGTCTGCTGAGGCTCAGCGGCTGGGGGTGGGGCAGGAGGTGGTGATCTGGGAGGCTGCAGGGTCAGAGACCGGGCTCGGGCATGGACCCGCTGATGCAGCCGTAGGCCTGCCATGGCACGGAACCAGCGGCCACAGGTCCCGCAGTAGTAGGGGCTCTTGTTGTAGAGACCAGTGATGGGGAGCCGGGGTGCACGGGCAAAGGCAACAGGCCGAAGGTGCAGCCGCCGGTGCTGCTGTAGGTTGGAGCTCTGTGTAAAGCGCTTGCCACAGTCCAGACACTGATAGGGACGCACACCTGTGTGGGTCAGCTGGTGGCGGCTGAGGTTGGCCAAAGAAGCAAATGTCTTGCCACAAGAATGGCACTGGAATGGTCTCTCACCTGTGTGTGTCCGCAAGTGGTTACGCACATGGACCAGCTTCTTGAAGCCCTTGCCACAAACCCCACAGCGGTGCCGCCGTTCAGGGGGCCCATGTACTGCGCGCCGATGTCGGGAAAGCCGAGAGGCTGAGGCAAAAGACTTGGGGCACTGTGGGCAGGGCAGCTGGGCAGGTGGGGCAGGGGGTGGGGCTGGGGGCGTGGGCTCTGTTGGAGCTGGAGAGGCTGTTGCTGCTGTTGCTGGGGCCCCACTTTTCCCAGCATGAGTGCGCCGATGGTAGAGGAACTTGGTCATATTGCTGAACGTCTTGCCACAGCGACAGCGATGCAATGGGTTGGCAGTGTGAGCCCGGCGGTGGGCCACCAATGTGAGTTCTGTGCCAAAGCCTCGTCCACAGTCCATGCAGAGGTAGCGAGCTTCTCCACGGTGCAGCCGCAGGTGCTGCTCAAGAGAGGCTGCCTTCTTAAAGACCTTGGAGCAGGCCGTACATTCGTATGTGCCACCCACATGGGCCCGCCCATGAGCCAGCAGCCGGTTTGCTGAGCTGAAGCTGCGCTGACACTGGGTGCAGTGAAAGGGGTGGGCACCTGATGTTGATCCTTGAGATGATCTTCGGTGTCTCTGGCGTGCCCCTACAGAAGTACAGTGTTGGGGACAATCCCCATGGCCCTGCGCTCTACCAGCCGTGGACTTATCACCTCCCATAGTATCAGCAAAGTTTACATCTTCCTCATCCTCTGACTCTTCCTCCTCCTCCTCTTCATCTTCCTCATCTTCCTCCTCCTTCTCCTCTAACCCATTACGCTCTTCTTTCTCCAAGGAGTCAAAGTGAGTTCCCTGATGTTCCAAGAATTCCTCTGGGGTGGCACAGAGGGTGGAACACTCAGGACATTCATAGGGCTCCATCTTGACTTCAGGTGATGGAGGAGGTGGTGTCGGGGGAGGCAAAGGAGGTGGTGCTGGTGACTCGGCTACTGTAGCAGAAAGGTGCTGAGCCTTGCGATGGGCCACCCACAGCTCAGGTGAGGGGAAAAGCTCTTCACAATCCCCACACTGGTACTGGATCTGGCTTGCAGACTCCCGGAGGTGAGCATCCTGGTGGGCCAGGAGGTCACTGGGAGAGAGGATGAGCTGGCTGCATTCACCACACTGGAAAGGCCCCTCCCCAGTGTCTGGCACTAGCTCTGGCTCCAGGCCAGCATCCTGTGTGGTCAGTGCCTCCTCCTCCGACACAGTGGCCACATGCTGCTCTTGGTGTGAGAGGACTTCCTCCAGTGTGTTATAGAGGCTGCCACACTCAGAACACATGAACTGGTGGTGCTGAAAGAAGAGGGATGAGGCAAGGGCCTCCCCAGGTGTCATTTCTGTCACTTCTGCTATCTCTGCCATCTCCCCCGACATGGATGACACAGATGTTGGCATCTCCACTGCCCCTGGTGACTGTGTTGGCATCTCAGCCACCTCAGCCACAACCTCTGCCATTGTAGGGAAGGCAGTGCCTGCAGAAGGAGGGGCAGGAGCCAGTGACATACCAGGAACCCAGGAGAGAGGGGATATCTCAGGAGTTCCCTTGCTCATCCCATTACTCACCAGCCTCTATCAATCAAAAATCTTAATCCAATGTTTATGTCTCAGTCTTCAAGGATCCTGTGCCTCTGAAGCCTATTGCCACTCACAACAGCCAGGCATCTGCAGAAGAGAGAACACTCCTCAGTCTGGCCTGGGATGGTGCTCTCTCCCAGAGGCTCAGCCACACTCTTTCTGAGAATACACCATGTTTTTTCCAGCCTCCTAGCCTCTGTGCAGTTTCCCCTTTTCGCAACATCTTTCTTCCTTCCTTTACATAGGCACACAGAGATATGGCAAGACATTAAGAGCACAGGCCCTGGAACCAGACTTACCTCAGCTTGATTCTGAGCTCCACTGCTTACGTCCACTCTCTGAGAGCGTTTTCTCACCTGTAAAATGGAGCTAAAACTAGTACTGACCACAATGTCACTGATACTTGATAAAGGCTAGCTAAAAGTTCGCTAAAAACGCTGTTTTGAACTTAAGTCTTCTTTTGTTTTGTTTTGTACCTGGGATCGAACTCAGGACCTTGCACTTGCAAGGCAGGCAGCGGAACCAGAGTTAAATCCTCGGCCCTAAACTTAAGTCTTTGATGCTACTATTTTCTCTGGTAAGAAAACTCTCTTCTTCTTTAATTCATTAAGTTTATTGGTACATTTTAGGTATACAATATGATGACATTCATCATTGGGAATTTGTACCTTTACATGATATATCTATCTTGGTTCTTATTTTTTTCCCCATTGCCCTACCCTCCCTATTTACAAAGACTTTGTTTCCATTTTTTTCCTTCTCTCATATTTATTCCTTTCCCTTCTTTCATTTCCCCTACCCCTTCTTCTTCCCCTTCCCCTTTGGACCTTTTCTTCGTATTTCACGTTATACTTTTTTTTTTTTTTTTTTTTTGAGACAAGGTCTTGCTTTGTGTTCAGGTCTGAAGTCACTTTGTACCCCAGGCTGGCCTCAACTCCTGGCGATCCTCCTGCCTCTGCCTCCCGAGTGCTGGGATCATAGGCGTGCGCCACCACACCCTATCTATTATACATTTTGATCCTCATTAACACTTGCAGTTTCTCACACCAGAGAAATCTCCTCCTGTTTGGCAAACTCCTACCCCATCTCCTTTGTGAAACCTCTGGCAACATCTTCATATCCTCAGGGCAGTGGGCACGCCTGCCTTCCTATGATATCGTATGCATCCTCTATCATAACTAATATGAGCTTGGAGTGTTCCTTTGAGCTTTTTACAGGACTGAGAGCTTGCAGGCAGGGTGTGTCTGATTCATTGTGGGGGCCCAGTCACCAACAAAACCACATACCAGGGACAGGTATTTTAACTTTCAAATTTGCCCCCACATGCTCTATGTCCTCTTCTTGTGTGGGTTCAGTGCAACCCAGGCCCCCTCACACAATGGAGGTTCACAGTCTATTCAGCAAATGACCCCCCCCCCCAATTTTTTTTTTTTTTTGGTGTGGTACTTGGGATTTAACCCAGGGCCTTTTGAAATCCCCATCTTCTTTATCTCTTCACCTCATCTGTTAGTGCCAGAAGGCAGATGGGAGTTTAGTTTATGTCCCTGCCTATAGAATTTGTTCATATTAAGCTCCGTGAGGGCAGGGATTTTAGCCTATTCATCACTGAGGTATTTCCAGTGCCAAGAACAATGTCCAACTCACAGTAGGCACCAAGTAGGTATTTAGTAAATGAATGAGAGTCTCTAGGGGAGTGAACCCTGGGAGTTTAACCATCCCTGTGCACATTTCACTTCTACCGGGCCAACTCTCCCATTTCACCATGAATTTCCACTGTACACAGTATACTGCACAGTGCCCTGTTTTCAGGTGGTGCCCAATAAGTACTCCTTGAATAAATCATTCACTCAATGCCCACGAGCTAAACATTCCTTATCAACCTATTCCAAATCCTTCACTAATTTTTAAGTTCTAGGATCCTGTACACAACAGCTATTCCACAAAGGATCTTCCTGTAAACAGCCAACAGGGAGCAAAGAGCTCCATTTTTCCTTGTTTTGCAGCCCCACTTGGAACAGAGAACTCTCCTAGGATTAGGCCCAGAGCACGCTATAAGACTTGTCTCTAGAAGGTGGCCCTGAAATTCGCGCTTTCCTTGTCTACACACCTCTTACCCAATCTTGGATTGTGAACTACTAGGAGGAGGAAAGGGGGCTTTTCATATAGTCAATCCTTAAGTCTTACCAGGAAAGAATCCACCAGGGCCTGAAAGTTAAACTTTGCTGGTACATAACCCTTTTCTGCCAAACTCATCTCCTAGGCAGCCGGAGAAGTACCGGCAGGGGGTGGGAGGGAGCCAAACTTCAGGTACAGCACACCACAGGAGGGCAACCAACGCGTCCAGGGTACCCAGGAAGGCGCACTCTCCTTCCACTCGGCTCAGCTCCCGCCCTAGCACAGGCCCCGAGGTTCTTCAGTCCCTAGGGTCCTCTTCATTCTCCTTCCACCCTCTCCTTAAGCCCAGCGCTCTGTTCCCCGCCCGCCCGCGGCGCCCTCACCTATTTCTCTTGCCTTAACAGGTCCTGCCGCTCTTGACACAGACCCTCGACTCCTGGCGTGCGGGACCCCTCACTATCCACACCTCCCATTGGGCGGCGCCCTTACCCGTGGTGGCCAATCAGAGCCGGCAGCGCCGGCACGCGCCCTTGCGCCTGCGTGTTGACTCTCAGGCGGGGCTCCGCGAGTTTCTCCACGCACACATCTGTGCCCTGTGGGCGGGGTCCGGAGCCGAGAAGCGTATGCGCAGTTCTCTGTGGCCACGCCTTTCCTGCTGAGAGTTTGAGAGTTCAGTAGAGTGAAGCGGACACACAGAGCAAGGGCTCATGGAGGGAGCTGGGGGCTGGCTGGAGGCCTTGACAGGTGTCATTTCATAGATGGAAGAAACGGAGAGTCTATGAGAACACAGTTTGGAGCTAGCCAAACTTGAAGTACTTCCCCTCTATGGGCTTTGACTCATAAAGACCCCAAAGGCTGTTGAAGGGACTGAATGATGCCACACATGGAAAAGCGCTCAGCAGGGGGGCCTCATATCTGCACCGTGGGTACCCCATCTATCGTGAACACTGTCCTTTTGAGTTTGTAAAATCCCTTTGTCTTTTCTCTCTTCATTTAATTATAATCACTTATAAGTCATATTATAAGGGACTCACTGTGTATTCAGTTCAGAACTATGTTTCCATAGGGGGAATCGATGCCGTCCATTTGTTTCACAGTTGGGGAAACGGGGGCCCAGAGAAAGGAAGAGATTCTTCGGACCCATCGCTGCAGCAGAGGCAGAACCTGTACTGAGCCAGTGCCAGGCAGGACTCAGGACTTCCGCCTCCTAAGGGGAGATCATTCCGGGCATGGGAACTGGTCAGCAAGGAGACTTGTGTCAGGCACGTGCTAGCCCTGACCTTGAGTCACCTAAGTGGGTGTCCCAGCGACTGTCACGCCCAAAGCCCTGCGGCAGGGGACCAGAAAACACCACAGCCCAGACAGACCTGCTTTTGTTGGTGCAGGTTAGGGAGAGGGCATTTGAGTGGCTCCCTAGTCCTGGAGGGCAGAGACCTGCATATCGGGATGGAGAAGCCTATTGTGAATTGGAAAGAGGTTATTCAGTCCTGAACGTGAGATTGGGGAATCTTGGTCTTTATCAGGAGAAGGAATTTATAGATAGGATGGGGCTGGGGCGTGTGCTCTTCGTGACTGGATCATGAGACAGGACAGTTGACATGTAGGTTCCTGGTTGCCATTAGGAGTGGGGGTCAGTCTAATGGAGGAGGATCCAGGTCCTGATTTTAAGAAGCCTGGGCCCTACTGGGAGCCGGGATAGTCTTAATTGCAGACCTTTGCCTCGGGAAGCTGGGGCAGTGTTATACTGTGGGTGTTTTGGTCGTGATCAAGAGGGGGCTGTAATTTATGCGATGAGTATTTCCGCAGATCGTGATGTAGGGCAGTCCGGGACCCGGTGACTTGAGTCACGCAGAAGTAGAGATACTATAAGTGCCAGGCCGGGGGAGGTTCTCGCATTGCGCAAGCGCAGCACCGGGTAGCCGGGAAGCTTTGGTTGGGGGGCGGGTCCAGAGGCTCCGGAGGGTGGGGCTTGTAGGTCTAGTTCTGCGCGTGCGCCCAAGGGGCGTGGCGGTCGCACCTGCGCGAGTTGGGGGAAGGAGGAGGAGCGAGGTGACGCAGGCGTTATAATAGAGAAGGTGCCAGAAAGATCCAAAACAAGTGTCTCCAGCCGTCGCCCAGAAGTCATCGGACGCCGGAATCGGTGAGAATCCCGAGAGGCCTAAGGGCGACTGGTGGCAGGCAGACGAAAGCACTCGGGCGCTGGGGACAAAGTGGAACTGCCCTTCTAGGGCAAGGGTCGGGTTTGGACAGTACCACCTGTGTGGAGCAAAGGGCTGCCTTGGGCGGTCCCGCTGTTGGGGGCCGAGGGTCACTTTCGGACAGTACCACTTGGGTGGAGCGGAGAGCCTGAGTGGAAAATACTGATGGACAGAGGCAAGGGCTGCGTCCCGACGTTTACTACCCAAAGGCACCGTCTAGTAGACAAAAGTGCTTTGGAATGGGCCGCGATCCTTGTTTGGGCCGAATCACTTGGGTCGTGGGGGGGGGGCTAGTTTGGAACGTACCACCTGGGGAGGGGCCTTTAGACTCGGCTGGCTGGACTGGTCGGAGAACTCTGTGTCTGGCGTTACTAGGGGACCTTGGACTATACCATTCCCTTCCGGGGGAGAGGGAGACTGAGGCGGTTGTGGGTTGTGGGGGGCGGCCCTGCCCGGCCTAGGCGGGAGAACACGCACTGGCCGGTGTGGAGTCCCGGCCGCCGCGTCGCTGACCCGCTGCCTCCTCCCCGCCGTGTGGGTTCTAGGGCCTGGTTCTGAGCTTGTTCCGCGTCCCTCCCCCGGGAATGGCGCTGTCTGGGTCGACCCCGGCCCCGAGCTGGGAGGAGGATGAGTGCTTGGACTACTATGGCATGCTGTCACTTCACCGTATGTTCGAGGTAGTGGGCGGGCAGCTGACCGATTGCGAGCTGGAGCTTCTGGCTTTCCTGCTGGACGAGGCCCCCGGCGCAGCTGGCGGCCTGGCCCGCACCCGCAGCGGCTTGGAGCTGTTACTGGAGCTGGAGCGCCGCGGGCAGTGCGAGGAGAACAACCTTCGGCTGCTGGGCCAACTCCTGCGGGTGCTGGCCCGCCACGACCTGCTGCCGCACCTGGCACGCAAACGACGCCGGCCTGGTAAGGTTAAATGGGAGTGTGCCAGACTAACTATGGGGAGAAGGTCTAGTCCCATAGGCCCCCGTGGTGCCCTGATAATGTCCTATTCCATTCCCCCTTCACACAGTATTAATGAAAAACAAAAGAGGGAGGAGGCATGGTTTAAGGAGGAGTGAGCTTGGCCACATCAATAATACTGACGACCACTGTTTACCGGGAGTCTTGTTCATCCCAGGCACTGTTGTAAGTCCTTCATATGAACTGTCACCTTATATCCTTCTAATAGTCCCACGAGGAAGTACTGTTACTGTCCCCACTGTACAAGGAAAACGACAGGTTCAGAAAAGTTCAACAGCTTGCCACATATAAGACTTGACTCCTACATATTAGGCATAGAGGATATAAGATAATGGGGTTTATTTACATTTAGCTGGTGCATCAGAAAGTAAAGATGAATAAATAAATAATTTCCTTTAAATTGAGGTTACAGAAAGACTAAAACAAGGTAATAGGATAGAGGGAGTAGGAAGTGCCTCGAGGTGAAAGGAGGCTGCCTTAGATTAGGTGACCAGTGAAGGCCTTTCTGAGATGACATTTGAACTGAGGCTGCCAGCCATGCACACATTTCAGGGGAGAAGTCCCAGGTAGAGGTTAAAGCATTGGAACCTTGAGGTGGAAATGAACTTGATATCATGAGAAGCCAATGTGGCAGAAGCAAAGGGGCACCCAAGCAAGGGTGGAGAGATAGGGAAAAAGATAACTTTATGGAGGGGCTTACAGGTAATGTAGCTAGAAAGTGTGGGAGCCAGGATTCAAATCTAGCTGGCCTGTCTCCAGAGTTGAGGCCCTTGACTTGGGAGGGAAGGACAGCAGTGAGAAGGGTGGGGAGCTGGGAGGGTTTCAGACTGCCAGAAGACCTGTGCATGAATAGGTGTTGGGCCCTTGGCTGGGTTACTAGAGGTGGAGTGACTAGGTTGGAGAGCAGGGATTATAGGTTTTCGTAGTCTGTGAGAGTTGGATAACCAGACATCTCTAGAGAGCTAATAGCATTTGAGAAAAACATGCCTAAGAGTCAAGTTCTAAGAGAAAAGATCGGGGAGCCTACAGAGACCCTCTTACTCCTGTGGGCCTCAAGGTGAATGAGGGACTGTTGATGAGGGGCAAGGGGCCATTACAGAGATCCTGATCATGATTTCGTACAGAGTAACTGGAGCTACTGTAGACGTGGGCTGGGTGGCTCTAGAGTGGGAAGAATTTTCTGTCTAGGGCATCTAGGGGTAGGAGTTGAAGACTGGACTTGGAATTGGCAGGAGGCTGTTAATGTTTTTTTCCGTTCTCTTCCAGTATCTCCTGAGCGGTACAATTATGGCACCTCCAGTTCTTCTTCAAAAAGGACAGAGGGCAGCTGCCAGCGCCGTCGACAATCAAGCATTTCCTCAGATTCTCAGCCGGGCCAGTGGGATACAGGTGAATCCACTGGGTGGGCATGGTGGCAGTGTCCCTCTTGTTCTTCTGTTTTTTGTTTTTCTTTTTGGTACCGGGGATCGAACTCAGGTCCTTGTGCTCGCGCAGCAGGTGGCGAAACCACTGAGCTAAATCCCCGGCCCCTTTTTGTTCTTCTGAACTCTGATAAACCTCCTTATCCTGGCCCATCAGAGAAGTGGCCTGAAGGGTCTTTGGACCTCATTTTCACAGTGTGTCTATGTTTATTATTGTATCATTGCTACAAAAGGAAGCATGTGTCCTGAAGCAACCCATAGAATTGTTTCATGTTTTCCATTTCATTTAAATAACATCATATTGTGGGTATCAGTCTGTAGCTGGTTGTCTTTGCTAGACCTGTTGGTGAGATTTATTTGTGTTGAATGCCTCTAATTGGCTTAATTGCCATGTCCCAATTAATTTATTCTGCCTCTTTCCCCTCCCCCTGTTTATTATTATTATTATTTTTTTTTTTTTTGGTACCAGGCATCAAACTTGGGGACTTGCACTTGTGTGGCAGGTGCTGGAACCACTGAGCTAAATCCCTGGGCCCCCTTATTTATTATTATTATCATAAAATTTCAAACATGCATAGAAGTTAAACATCTTTGTTGAATTCTCTGAAAGTAAATTATAGACATCAGCAGATTAACTCCTCATCAGCAGACATCACTTAAGACGAATGATATTCTCCTATACCACTTCAAGATCATTATTGTGCCTTAAAAAATAAATATTCTTGGGGCTGGGGATTAAGCTCAGTGGCACCAGGTGCAAGGTCCTAAGTTCGATCCCCAGTACCTAAATAAATAAATAAATATTCTCTGATACCCTGATGGTCCATTTTCAAATCTCTTAACTTTAAGAATATACTCATGGTTGAGTTGTTATGTGTGCAGTTATGTCTCCTTAATTTCAGTATATTTTAAATTTTATTTTATTTATTTGTTTAAAAACTTCTGTTAGTACATGTTTGGAGTACATAATGATGACATTCATCTTCGGGAGTTGGTACATGCACATAACACATCTTAATACTTTTATGTTTTCCTTCCCCTCCCTCTTCAGTTTCAAACAGTGGAACAGAAACTTCTTCCCAACCTCATATCTTTTGTAGAGGAGGTGATGGGGAGGCTCTTATGTGCGCTAATAAGCATGTACTCTACCACTGAGCCACCCACACCTGCAGCTCCCCTTTTTCCTTTTTGACTTTGACCTGACCAGTCTGATTGTTTTGTAGTATGTCCCGATTGCTTCTGGATATGTCTTTGATAATTTTTGTTTGTGTCATTTAACTTATCCCACTGTCCCTCATATTACACCCCCTTTTTTTTTTTGGTACCGGGATCGAACTAGGGTCCTTCCGCTTGCGAGGCAGGCTTCGGAACAACTGAGCTAAATCCTGGGCCCCCTCCTTTCTTTTTTGAGACAGGGTCTTGGTATGTACTCCAGGCTGCCCTTGAATTCACTGTATAGCCCAGATTGGCCTCAAATTCATGGCAGTCCTGCCTCAGCCTCCAGGAGTGCTGGGATTATAGGCGTGTGCCACTGCATCTGGCTAGTCACTTTGTGGGGTTTTTTTGTGGTTTTTTTTTGGTACTGGGGATCGAACTCAGGTCCTTGCGCTTGCAAGGCAAGCAGCTGAACCACTGAGCTAACTCCCCAGCCCCTAGGGAGCTCTTTTAAGAAACATTTTCTCATGTTTTTCTGAGTTATCACTATGGAGTCATTATTTATTTACTTTGTTATGAACATTCTTCCCAAAGTTCAAAGTGGTTAGTTTCTGTTGTCTTTTTAGTGTAGGTGCTGCCCAAGTGAGCACACTAAGTCTCAGTGTCTTTTTGTTGTATTTCCCTAGTTTTTTGATTGCCTCCTGCTTTGTGGCACTCCAGATGCCTTGGGCTCACCTTGAACTTTCCCTTCCCCAGCCCTAGAATCAGCTATTTCTTAAGGTCCCTGGTTTCTTTTAGAGGCCTTTGTATTTATTCTGGGTACTGAGTAGTTACGTTGTTTCTAACCTCTATCCCTGAGCAGAGCTAGTGACTGCTTTATAAGAAACTCATAGTTGGGCTGGGGATTTAGCTCAGTGGTTCTGCCGCCTGCTTTGCAAGCACAAGGTCCCAAGTTTGATCCCCGGTACCACCCCCCCCCCCAAAAAAACTTATAGTGCATTTTTAATTCAAAGTTAACATAACAAAGATTTTTTTAAACTAAATCTTGGCTTTTAATTATATTGAGAAATGGATTTTTTTTTCCTTTTTTTTAACCAATATATTTTATAACAGTAATAAAATAGCATCAGAATTACCATCAGTACTGTTACTGAAGGTATCTCCTGAATGAAACATGGGATTTGTTTGTGGTTCTTGCTCTTTGATCATATCCCATTGAGACTTTGTGGTCAGAATGTTTTTCCATGTTACTTGAAATAGTTATTTTCTCTGAGTATTCATGTTACCAATTATATACACAGTTAGGGTCCTGTGTTTTGGCTTCTGTTTAGTTTTATGGTTTGTTTCTTTTAGTTTTCGAGTAAGATAGTACATGACTCAAAAGGCAAAACTAAAGTTTGAAAGAAGATATTAGAAATGTCTGGCGTGTGGTGGCTCAAAAAAAAAGAAATATCATTTGTATCTTTCCTCCCCCAAAGTAGGTCATGTAAGTAGTTTCATTAATTTTTGACATGTCCTTGAGGTGTTTATCTTTTTTGTTTTTGTTTTTGTTTTGAGACAGGGTCTTGGTATGAGTTCCAGGCTGGCCCTAAACTATGTAGCTGAGGCTGGCTTTGAACTCACAGTGATCTTCCTGCCTCAGCCTCCTGAGTGCTGGAATTACAGGTGTGTGTCACCACATCAGGCTGCCAGTGTTTATCTTGTAAAAATAACATGTATATTCTTACTTCCTCTCTTTTATTATGCAAAGTGTAACACAATATCCTGGAAGCTGTTCTGCTACACTTGTTTTTTCTTGTCAGACCTTTGCATTGTGTTCAGATTTTCATGATTATATATGATCCCCCAGTGGCTGTTGTCTTGTCTTCTGATGTGAGTGTGCAAGGGCTTTTTTATTTTTATTTTTTTTGAGACAAGGTGTCACCATGTAGTTCAGACTAGCCTTGAACTCACTATGTAGCCCAAGCTGGCCTCGGACTTATGGCAATCCTTCTGCCTCAGCCGTCCAAGTGCTGGGATTGCAGGTGTGTGCCACCATGCCCTGCTAAGACCTGGAAGAGTCGACTGAATGTTGAGTGTGCCTTTCCAGATGGTGACTGTCAGTGGTATCCCATCTTCTAGACAGGGCCATTCCAGAGGGGCTCCCTCAGAGAGTCATGGCATAGAGTGGCTTTGAGCTCCTCCTGGACACCTACCTTGGCACTTCACCTATCATCTTGGTCCTCAGTCTACCTCATCTTTCTCTCCTCAGACTCCCTTCCGACTAAGCGGCAGCGGCGGAGTCGGGGCCGCCCCAGTGGTGGTGCCAGAAGGCGGCAGAGAGGGGTCCCACTTGCCCCTCAGCAGCAGCAAGAGCCAACCAGGCCTCCATCAGAAGGCAAAGTGACCTGTGGTAGGTGTCTGTGGGCCTTAGGAATGCAAGAATAGTGTCCAGGGCAGGCTATAGAGTTGGAGAGTTGAACAAGTGGGCATTTGTCAGGGTTGTGACATGACATACCTTACAGGCAGGCAGCAACTCTCAGACACCCATTCAGCACTGGGAAGTTATTACTATTTGTGGTATTGAAGTTTGAGCCCAGGGCTTTGTGTATATTAGGGACTCTACCACTGAGCTAATCCCTAGCCCTTTTTATTTTTATTTTGAGATAGGGTATTGCTAAAGGTACTCAGGCCAGCCTTAAATTTGTGATGCTCCTGCTTTAATCTCCCAGATAGCTGGGATTTACAGGTGTGTGTTACTGGATCTGTCCATAGCACAGTGGAATTCTTTTCCTTTTTGTTGCCATCTTGCTTGTCTATAGCCTGCCGTAATTGAAGGATAAAATCATGTGCCACCCATCCCCAGGAAGTCCTCCCTGATAACTCCCTTTCTATAATTTCATTTGTTTGCTTAGCAGACATCTTCAGGGGTTACTTATTTCATAGTCATATCTTATGCAGTGGTGGAATATCACAGGGATAGAAAACCAAGGGCTGTGGGTCAGGCTGCCGGATTCACATCTTGGCCTTGGCACTTCAATAAGCTGTCTCTCTGACCTTGGGCAGGTGACTGAACCTTGCAGGGCCTGTTTCCACATCTGGAAACAAGGCTGATAATGGTCCTGACTAAGAGTTGTTGTGAGAAAGGCAAGTTAACCATATAATGTGCTTGGAGTAGTGCCTGACCCAAAGTACATGCTGTATCAGGTGTGCTTTTAGTCTCACTGTTGCTGTGCAGTGGGCTTGGGGTGGGAATGCCACAAGGAGGCCTTGCTCTGACCTTGTAGTCAGGTGACAGACTAGTGGAAATGAAGACGGATCACTTTGATGGCTGTCCTGAAGAGGATTGGGAATGGGTAGAGGAGGCAGATAGGGCCAGGTAGGCTTCCTAGGCTGTCTGACGTTTTAAGCAAGGGAGCAATGTGACCTAATGCCTCTTTTTAAAAGAATTTCTAAGCTGGTTGTGGTGGCACATGCTTGTAATCCCAGCACTGGGGATCCTAAGGGAGGAGGATTGTGAGTTTGAGGCCAGCCTGGGCTCTACATAGTGAGACCCTATTTCAAAAAACCAAAAAATAGGCTATCATGTCTCATCATAGGAGCCCCATCCTACAATGTAGGTATAGTTTTAAATTTTTTTCTCCCTTTTTCCTATTTTTACTTGGTCCAAACTTACTCTGCAGAACTTACAAACTTTACCACCGAAAAATTTAAAAGTAATGAATGAATGAATGAAAAGAAAAGAACTCTAACACCATCTGGAAAATCCTCTAGTAAGGGAGTTATTATAAATAAAATGCTTAGGGCAGCCCTGGGCTTCTACTACAGGCTCTGCTGAATGCATGTTAAATATAGCAAGTAGTGTGGAAACCAGGAAATGGGTGAAGAGGGTGTGCATTCTCACAAGCAGAAGGGGCAGAGGTCTTTCCTGGGATAGTCATGTTGGAGAACATAAGGGGGTGGAGTAAGGGAATATTCTGGTTGTATGGCTGACTGCTGACAGGGTTGGGTCCATGGAGGGGCGACATCTGCTGTGGAGACTCATGCTCGGTCCTTACCCTAGAGAAATCCCACCTAGTCTTGTGGGGAGGGCAGAGCCACAGATAGCTTCCCATCTCTGGTACTCCCTTCTTGGAATTGGACAGAGAGGATCAGGTATGGTCTCTGAATTTCTAGAGCTCCCTGGCTACAGGGGAGACAGATAAGGGAAGTGGCACCCAGGCTGGTGTGACAGGTGCTGCGTATACTGTGAGTGCGGGGGTACATGGGGGAGTCTTCTTACTGGCCCTGGTTCCCTGTGGAGATGCCACTTCCAGGATAAGTTCAAAGAAGCTGGAAAAGTTGCTGAGAAGGACGTTTCCCATGTTCAGGCTGGGGTGGAAGGTGGGGCAACTCTGTATCCACAGGAGATCTGGGCTTAGGGGTGCTTTTTCTCATCATCTGCAGCCCACAAGGCACTCATGACTGCCCTTCCTAGTGCCCATCATGGTCTTCCAACACCTATCTCATAGGTGAGGCTGCAGATACCTGTGCTGGATGCCATCAGGAACAGAGGAACAGAGTCAGTCCCATGTCCTCAGACAGCTCCCAGCTTCCAGGGATGACTGCCCATGGTGACTCTCCCTTGAGTCAGGTAGTAATTACTAGAGCCATCAGGCTGGCTGGATGGGTGAGGGAGTCATTGCCTCAGGGAGGACAGGAGCAGGCAATGGCAGACTTTAGCTATCTTCCCTAGGGCCAGGAGGTTGTTAGCCAGGGTGTGGCTGTGTCTTAATTGAGATGGGTAAGCAGGTCTGACTGCTGACTCACCAGGCAGGGCAAGGCTGGAGTGAGGCTCTCCCCATTTGGGCCGCAGTTTTGCCCTCTGAAAAATGGGGATGGCTTACCTTAAGGAGGCCATGAGGCTTCTGTGAGGTAGAAGGAGCCCCTCCTGACCTGAGTGAGGAAAAGCCTGATACTCTTGCCCCACCAAACCTGTGGCACTTATGGGGGTTGACTCCAGTGAGCTGCCCTCATTTACTACAGTAAATTTCCAAGTACCTGAGGGTATGAGAAGGGCACTTGGAGTTCCTGAGCTTGGACACAAAATCCCTGAGCTTCCATACCTCTCTTGGCCATCCACTGGGTACCGTGCCAGATATATTACTCTCCTGACTTGAATTCTCAAGACATCCATTGAGGTAGGTAGGGCTGGCATCCAACAGGCCAAGGAAAAGGAAGTCATTAGTAGGAGAGACGGGCAGAGGTGGGTTTGTTCTTTCATTTTTCAAAAGCAGGATCTTGCCATGAAGTCCAGGCTGGCTTTGAACTCACTATGTAGCCCAGGCTGGCCTCAATCCTTCTTCCTCAGCCTCCTGAGTGCTGGGAGTACAGGTGTGTTATCACCACACGTAGCTGTCCATTTGTTTTTTGAGTGCTTACTAGTGCTGGACCTAGCAGGGCTGGGAGGCCCCCTGGCCTGCCATCACTGAGTTCATGTTCTGGTCAGAAGGGAAAGCCACGTCCAAAGCTTCAGATGTCAGGGGAGTATTCCAGATGGAGGGGAGAGCAGGAGCAAAGGCTTGAGTGGGAGTGTGCCCATGGTGGTCAGGGGTGGTGAGGAAGCTACCAACACTGGAATAGGCAGGTCGAAGGGCAGACTGCTAGAGATGAGGGCAGGACAGGTAACCAGGGCAGATCCTGCAGGGCCCTGTGAACCATAGCCCTTAGGCTTTGCACTTTTTTTTTTTTTTTTGGTACAGGGGATCGAACTCCAGTCCTTGCACTTGCGAGGCAGGTGGAACCACTGAGCTAAATTGCCAGCCCTGCACTTTTTGAATTATGGAAAGCAGTTGGAGGATTTGAATGGCAGGATCAGTTTTGCTTACCCCCACCCCAACTTTTTCTATGGAAAATATACCAAAATATATTCATGGCATAACAACTGTGAGAACCCATTACCAAAATTCAGCTGTTGTCACTTGTGGCTGCTCTTGTGTCATGAGCCATGTTACTTTGGAGTCATTTCCAGCCGTCTCACTGTTCAGGGGTAGACATTTCACCGTGTATCTCGAAAAGAAAAAAAAAATTCTTTAAAGTGTCACACTAAAATATTATAATAGTAATTCTTTTTTTCTTTCTTTTTTTTTGGGGGCGGGTATCCGGGCTCGAACTCGGGACCTTGCACTTGCAAGGCAGGGGTGGTGCCACTGAGCTAAATTCTTGGCCCTATAATAGTAATTCTTACTATCCCATACATCATCAGTAGACAAATTTCTGCAATTGTCTCATAAATACGGGTTCTTCAAAGTCTCCACATCTCCAGGATACCCTGCCATCTTGACTCCCACCCCTGACCCCAGTATTGTATTTGTACAGAGCAGTTGTCCTGTAGTATCTCCCAAAGACTGGCTTTGGTTCATCGAATCCTGAGAAGGGCTGATTTAATGTGTTCCCCTGTTGTGTGTATGTTCTAGAAATTGGGTTAGAGAGTCTTGATCACACTCTGGTTTGATATTTTGATTTTTTGGACTCACTTCCTAAGTGGTAGTGTTTTCTTCCATCAGGAAGCAGGCAGTGGCTGCTTACCTGTTTTTTTTTCCTTTTTGAGACAGGGTCTCATTATGTAGTTCAGGCTGTCCCTGAACTCACTATGTAGCCCAGGCTGGCCTCAACTCGCAGTGATCCTCCTGCTCATCCTCTAGAGTGCTGGGATTACAGGCGTGACCACCACACCCGGCTGGCTGCTCAACTTTTGAAGTTGGTGGCAGCTTCTCATTGCCTTGGTTCATTAGTTTAGTAGGAGACAAAGAAAGAACTTGACTTGATGACTCTGGAAGAGGCTGGAGTGAGGCAGACATGAGCCAGGAGGCTGGAGAAGGCTCCCAGAGCTTCCCTGTTGTGGCAGCAGCTGTGGTGGGCTATTTCCATGGAAGCATGCTGGCTGCCTCTTTCCTCCTGGGCTAGAAATTCCCCACCTGTGCTTGTCCTCTGTGACCCCATCTCACCCATCTAGGAACCCTTGGTGGGAAGACTGGAGTGAAGTTCTGTTCAGGGCTCCCAGACGTCCAGTGCAGGCAGGGCTTGCTCTCAGTGGCCGTGGTGCCCCACTAGGAAGCCCCTCCCACTTCTGCATCTCACTCTGCACCAGAAGAGAGATCCTTGGGGTGAGGTGGGTGCTGGGGCTCACTTGAGCACAGGAAGCAAGAGCAGCTCTCTAAGAAGGAAGAGCCCTCCACCTCAGAAATGGAAGCATTTGTCTGCCACTGTCAACATGGGTACAGTTCAGTTGGCTCTCAGACCAGGGTGCAAGGGTACTGAGTGCTTGTGCCTCCTCATCCTTCACTGCCACACCTGGACTGGTCCATCCACCTTTCTCCTATCTGTTGCTCCCATCCTGGACAGCTGACTGCTGCCTTGGTCTTCTTCCTGTCACCCTCCCACTCCTGCAGAACAGCTGGAGTTGTCTCTCAGTAGGATGGTCCTGACTTTCCTGTGTTCCCAGCTGTATGTTCAGCCTTGTAATCCTCACCACCGCCCCACCAGAGCAGGTGCTGGGGTGAGCATTGTTCATGGAGGAGCCCAGTGAGATACAGAGAGGTGTGGTCACCTCCAGAGACCCCAGGCCTGGGCTTCTCTGCTGCAGAGTGAGACCAGAACTGTGGTCCTACTCTCCGTTCTCTTCCACTGTGTTCCAGCCACGACAGTGAATGTCCCAAGTTTATTTTATTTTATTTTTTCTTTTGGTACCGGGGATTGAACTCAGGACCTTATGTTTCAAGATAGGTGGCAGAACCACTAAGCTGAATCCCCGGCCCTGCCCCAAGTTTATTTTGTCCCTGGACTTTCAGTAAGTGTCCTTTTTTCTTCCAGAAGGCCATTTTTACCTTCTCTCCATTTTTTCATTTCTTAGAGAAGAATTCTCACTCATTTCTAACTAAGTTATAACTTGCTCTATATCATTTTCTCTCCTGGGCTTCAGGGTATCTTTTAATTATGTATTTGTGTACACGGTTGTATGAGAGGAAGTGAACAGGATGGGGTAATTAAGAGCTCAAGCTCTGGAGCCACGCACCTCGAAATTCTGGCTTTGGGCAAGTGACTCAACTTTTGTGCCTCAGTTTCCCTACCTGCAAAAAAAATATCACCAGATTGTGGGATGACCTAAAGGGTGGGTAGGTGTGAAAATCAGCACTGTGACAGCCTGTAGTAGATTTCATATAAGTGTCACCTGTTGTTACTTTGGTGCAGGATAGGGTGGGATAGGGGAGGAGAGATCAAGGAGAGGTTGCCTGTAAAGCACATGATTCAAGGCCAGGGTGGAGTGGTGGCTCAGGTAAAGCTCATCTTCTCTTGCCCAGTGGAGCCTCCTGTCCTCTCCCTCTGATTACCCCTGTGATCGCGTTTTCTAGATCCCAGTTGGACTGTGGGCTGGTGAAGCATTTCCTTGTGTTTAAATGGGAGTAATGAAAGCACCTGGAGGATTAGGTGGTCCAAGGCTGGGAAGGTCCACGGCTGGGGACCGGCATGCAGGGAAGCACACCTCTCTGTCCTACTTGCAGCAGTGTCACCCTCAAATGCCTGGGACTCAGTAAATTCCTATTGAATGGAGACTCCATAAATCGATCCTTTCCCTGCCCCCTGCCCACCCTGCATGGTGGGGACTCTGCGTGAAGAGATAGATGATTTCTACACAGGACTAGTAATGTCTGCTCTGAAGAGAAGGGCAAGCTGGAAGAGGATCAGGTGGGCAGGAAGTGGAGTCTCTTGGTGGGGAGTGGAGGAGGAGATGAATAGGACTTTCTTTTTTAAAAGACGGTCTCACTGTGTAGTTCAGGTTGGCTTTGAACTCCTGGCAATCCTCCTACCTTGGCCTCCCAAGTCCTGAGACTACAGGTGTGCACCATCACGCCTGGATCAACAGGCCGTTCCATGAGGGAAGATTGGGGAGTAATTTGTTGTGGCTGGAGGACAGGGTATTGCAGTTGGGAGAGTTGATGGAGGAGGTTGGGCTAGACATTCAGGTGAGAGAGGTGAGGGCAGGGTTGGGCTGGGGCCATGGGGTAGAGAGGTGGGTGTCGAAATTATGGTTCCTGTTTTGGGGGCTACTGTGTGTTACAGACCGTGCGTGAGTCAGGTACTGCATGAGTTATCTCGTTTAATTTTCATGACCCCACCGTGCAGCAGGGACCTCTTGTTTGTCTGTTTGTATTTTTCAGATGAGGAAACTGAGGCTCAGAGAGGTGAGGTCACATGCCCAAGGCCCCACAGCTAGAGAGTGGCAGAACTGGGACTCACCTCCAGGTCTGTGGGACTCCGCCGGCTGGGTCTGCCTCTGCCTTTCCCTCTGTCCACCCTGGCCTTGGGCAGATGCTGTTACTCCTAGCACCCTAGCCCCTGTTCCCATTGCAAGGGCATGGCCAGATGCTTACAAGGGTCAGGGATATGAGGATCCAGAGGGCTTATCTGGTCCTCAGCATGGAGGGAGCTAGGCCTAAGGGCCGTGGAGGGAGCCCCGGGGGCTGAGGCTGGCAGGCTTCCCTGGGTCTTGAGTGGAGAGGATGGGGTTCCCCAATAGGAAGAAAGAGGAAGGATTTGTGGTGGAAGGAGGAAGTGGGTCGGGTGAGAAGTCATCTGGCAGTGCGGGGGACCTGCCTTCTTTCTGCTCTCTGCTGACACATCTGTGAGAGGTGGAGGGAGCCCATAGCACGGGACTTCCACTCCCAGAGCTTTGATTTCCTCATCTGTCAGAACCTAAGGTGGCTTCTGGCCCACAGGGCTAAGGGCTACATCCCCAATGACAGGCACATGACACAGCCCAGCTATTGGCAGCTGCCATTCTTGGAGCATCCATTGGACACCAGGCATGGTACTAGATTGTTTCTTTCTCTCCATTACTCCTCTTTTAATCCTCATAACAGCACTTCCCAGCAGGACTTGTGTTCTGGTTTAGATAGGAACCTATGTTCAGAGAGATAACTTTTCTGAAGTCACACAGCAGTGTCTGAAGGTCCTGAGTTGGAATCAGTTCCATTGACTGAGAAGCCTGCACCCTGGGCATAGGTGGTTGAGCACTGTAACCGCCTGGCTATGTGATCTTGGGCAAGTCCCTTCACTTTGCCTCCATTCCTTATCTGTAAATTGGTGTGTTTATAGGGCTTGCCTGGCAGGGTCATTTGTGGATTAAATGAGTTCTATGATTTAAGTACTTGGAGTGATAACAAGTGCTTGCTGCTGGTGTTCCCAGCTCGTCTTTAGACAACCCTGTGCCGGGTATGTAGTGGGGGCACTGTCACTAGCCCCACTTCACAAGTGGGTATTCAGATTTTCTAGAAGAGAAGGCCTGAGTTCATACCTGCAGGGATGGTCCTGTTCCCTGCACAGAGCTGCCACCATATCTGGGCAGATCTAAGTATAATTGTGACAGAAACCCAACTTCAAACTGTTTAAGAAAAAAAAGGGATTGATTGTAACTGAAGATCCAGCCTGGTAGGATTCCAATGCACCTTCACGAAGACCACAGGATGAACTCCGGAATCTTTTCCCTTCTATCCTTAGTCCTGTGTGGGCTTCATTCTTTCTTCTTGGTGGCTCAGGGGCCCCCAGAAGCTCTGGGCTTGTAGCCACCCTCAGCCTTGTGGACAGAGCACTTGGCTTCCAGTGGTGCAGTGTCAACTTGAGTCTCCGGGGCCTGCTTGGACCACTCGCTTCCTGGAGCTTGCTGGGGAAGATAGGGATGTGGTTGGCCTGGGACTCTCATTGTGGTATTAGTCTGGTTGTCTGAAGGCAAGTGCATTTAGTTCATGAATCAGTTCTTTCACAAATGCATACTGAGCACCTACTGTGTGCCACAAGGTTGTACAAGTGAACAAAACAGATGAAAAGTCCCTTAAGGGAGCTGTCATTGAGGGAGACAGATGATAGCATATTAGCAGCCTATGGAGTAGGTCAGAAGGTGATGCGTGCCTTGGGGACTAACAGCTGGGAATGCTGCAGGAGGATGGGGATGGTGGGTGGGCCTCATCAGGAAGGGGGCACTTGAACAGAGACCTGCAGGAGTTAGAGGAGAAGTTCTCTGGCGATCTGGGGAAAGAGATCCTGCTGGGGAGAGGCAGGGCTGAGTTGGAGCCTGCCTGAAGTTGGAGCAGTGAGGAAGGGTGGAGCTGGGGAGAGAAACTACAGGACAGGGAGGTAACAGGCCAGAGCTCACAGAGCAAAAGGTGTGAGGACTTCACAGTCCTTGAGGGGTATGGCTGCCAGTAGGAGGCAGGGGCAGAGGGAGGAGTCTGTGGGAGGAGGCCAAGGGAGGAGGGGTGGTAGGGTGTTGGCAACCACTGACAGTTTCCTCCTCCCCCACAGACATCCGCCTCCGAGTCCGAGCAGAGTACTGTGAGCACGGGCCGGCCTTGGAGCAGGGTGTGGCATCCCGGCGACCGCAGGCACTGGCGCGGCAGCTGGACGTGTTTGGGCAGGCCACTGCAGTGCTGCGCTCAAGGGACTTGGGCTCTGTGGTTTGTGATATCAAGTTCTCGGAGCTCTCCTATCTGGATGCCTTCTGGGGTGACTACCTGAGTGGCGCCCTGCTACAGGCCCTGCGAGGCGTGTTCCTGACTGAGGCCCTGCGTGAGGCCGTGGGTCGGGAGGCTGTCCGCTTGCTGGTCAGTGTGGACGAGGCTGACTATGAGGCTGGCCGGCGCCGCCTGCTGCTGATGGAAGAGGATGAGGGGCGGCGTTCATCAGAAGCTTCTTGATTGTGGATTTGGCAAGACTGACTCCACTTCCAACTCTGGTCCACCTTCTTTCCTGGAGGACGACCATCTCTGCCCCAAGAGGACTGTCATTCCAGCAGCTCAGACTGCTTCAGGACGGCAGGCCCCTTGACAGCCTTTTCTACAGGATGTGGGCTCTGAGGCCTAAACCACTTCCAGCCAAGTTTCCTTCCCAAACTCCCTACACCCCCAAGGTGTGTTCTCAGCCTCAGGAGGCCAGAGACTCAAGCTTCCAGATTGTAGAGGGTGGGAGGTGTAGCCACACTCACCAAAGCCCCCTGCACATCATGTCTCTGACCCCTGGCTATGTATGCAAGTGCATACACATACCCACTCATACACTGTCCCCTCTGAAATCTTCCCTGGACCCTGCCCTGGCCTGCTCCAGACTCTTTGGCCTAAGGGCTTCTCTCTCAGGATCTCTTATTTTATCACCCCCACCTGGGCTTCAGTCACACCAGTGGACTCTGGAGCTGGGGTGCACATGGCGCCTGCTCACTTTACCCCCTCATCTCTGACCAGCCAGGGCTCTGCCATCCCCCTGCTCCCCAGAGCCAGACACAAACTTGCACTTGGACCATTACCCACAGTGTCACATGTGGGTGTTGCAGAATTAGATCAAGGTCTGCTGTTGCCTGTGGGGCCAGGGGCAGAACTGGCTGCCTTGTAAAGGAAAGGCAAAGATTTGGGGGCTGTTGGGAAGACTTTTCGCAAATGGCACCAATAAAACTGCCCTGGAAGGGGCACAGGTAGGCATCAAGGCTCTCTAGGACTCTTTTTTGGGGGGGGCCACTGGGATTGAGCCCTGGTATGTGCACTCGAGGCAAATATTCTATCACTGAGCTACACATCCCCATCCCTTTCTAGGGCTTTCTTGATGGATGGAGGGAAGGGAGTGTCCTTGGCCAGTGTTAGGGGTTGGAGGGTACCACAGGATGCTAGATAGCTGCCAGGTGCTACCACAGGCTTGTCCCACTCTCTGGGCCTCACTTCGCTTATCTGTCAAAGAAGAAAATATTACCTTGGAGTCATAAATTACCTACTTGTTCACACATGCTTTGCTCCTGTATGTCCATGGAGGATGGTGGCTCCTGGGATTTTTAACTAGTGAAGTGAGATAAGCCAGCCGTCCCCAAGACTGATGAAGCCTCAAAGTTTGAAATGGAAAGGACAGGGCACCAGGGGTTCTTTTCCTGGAATTCCCGCTCCATATGGCTCCCACTATCACATATGGACATTCATCTCTTAACTTGGGTGTCTGCAGTTCTTCTTTCTGAGACTTCCTGTTGCTGTGCGGCTGTAGCTGAATTTGTGGCCTGCCTCTTCCCTTCCTTTGTGTAAGGGCTCAGGAACTCAAGATTCTTACACAATAAGGGGTTTTCTTTCCTGAGGGGCAAGGGAACCAGGGCTGGGGAGTTGGTATGATGGGTAGGGATTCCCCAGGGCTGGATTTTCCTGGAGGCAGGGAACACCACTTGCCCACATCTGTGAACCTGGCCTGGCCCCTTGACCTGTGTTGATGTACAAGGATGGAGTGGTAAGCCTAGGAATTGAGTCCTGTCTAGGAGCTGAGGCTGGCCCAGCCAGCTGCTGTGTACATTCAACCCTGCCTTTACCATCTCTGGGAGGGAACTAAGTTCTACTGGTGCCTCCTCAAGGTCTTTGTGTTATATGCATGCGTGCTACTAGGTATTTAACCCAGGGCCTTCTCACTGAGCTACATCCTCAGCCCTGTTATTTTTATTTGTTTTTGGTTTTTTGAGACAGGGTCTTGCTACAGTTCAAGCTGGACTTGAACTCATGGTGAGCTTCTTGCCTCAGCCTCTCCAAGTGCTGGAGTTACATGGATGTGTCACCACACCCGGGTCAAGGTCTTATTTAATACTTAGCCACTCCTTGTGGATTTTATCTGCATTTTTGATAGAAAATAGGCTCCTGAGGGTTCCAGACACTGATTTTGAGTATTTCTACTCTAATGATAACAGGTTAGGTAGCAAGGTGGGCTTGCGACTCCCTTGGAACACTTTTCCTTCAGGTGTATGGCTCTCTCGCAGGAAAAGGAGTATGGGCTTTCTTTCCATAATCTTCTAGGACTTGAGGCTCTCCTCTGCTTGGGCTTTACCCCTGCCTAGAAGTGGGAGATGCTGCTTGCCTTAGCCTTTGGCACTACTGCTGGGCTAAATTCCAACTTGCTGCTTTCCTCAAGCCTTAAGACTGGTCCGCCTGCCTATGAATGACAGACTCCGCCCCCTTCCCCCGGGCACCTTTCTGGCGCCACCCTTCCGTTTAAATTCTACCCTAGAGGCCCTGCCCCACCCTTTTCAACTGCCCTCTGGTGGCTGGCCTAGAAAGTCCGAGAGGGAGGCTGCAGGAACCCTACGCAGCCGCAATGAGTCCTAGGAAGTCTGTAGTGGCGGAACGGCCAGGTAGTACCTCGCGCTAA